AAAAAAAAAAAAAAAAAAAAGAACAACCAGTAAGAAAAAGTGGGGAGTACAGCAAAGCAAGTAAGCAGTGACCATGGGACCACAGCGTCCCCAGAACGTTATAGGTCCCCCAACCAACAAAAGAAGATGCTCTCCAACTTTAGCCAGCCCAGTGTGCCCACTTTGACACAGGTGGTCACACTGTGGCCTAGTACTTATTGGGAGTCACAAAAATGCAACTAAGAATGATGAGAGAAAGAATAAAGTGAACTTCAACTTGCCTGGTTTGCACGTCTTCGACATGTGAACTCCCCGTAATTCCTATCTGTGACATTCAAACCTCGTGTAATCCCTTCCCCGTGAGTGATGGCTGGGCCTAGAGATTTTTTTTTAATAAACCTCTTTAAGGAACTATATATATGTATGTGTGTGTCTATGTATGTATAGTTCAAATGGGTTGTCTTTAATTTTTCTATTATCAATTGTCACTTAATCTCAGTATCTCAGTTGACAAAATATACCTTTTTATTTTCTTTTTTAAATTTTTTTCCAGTTAATACGAGGGTACAATTTTTAGGTTACATTGTTCTCACTTTCAGGGTTTTCTTTATTTTCTAATGTATTTTTTAAAATTCAGATTGACAAAACATGCGATTAAGTTTCTTTGTCTTTGTTAGGAAAAGTCCGAGTTGTAGTTGACTCCTTCACCCAGGAGGTGTGCCATACACCCCTACATTGTACCCATTTGGTGGGAGTTTCCTGAGCCCCTTCCGCCTCCCCTCCCCCCTTCTTGGATTTAATTCTGGTTTCCCCTCATGTGGGCCTATAGTTGTTTATCTACTAGTTTCAAGTAAGTATTGAGTACGTGGGATGCTTGTTTTTCCATGCTGGAGATACTTTACTATGGAGAATGTCCTTCAATTCCATGCAGGTAAATATAAAAGATGAAAATGTACTTTCTTGCTCCTTTACTTTGGACATGGCAGTGTGACTTGCTTTGATGAATGAGATGTTAGTAGATGGGACAAAAGCAAAGACTGGAAGTATTCCTGCATGGCTGGGCTCGCCCTGCTGTGCACCAGCCTTTTTCCATGAGAAGAAAATTCTTCATGGAGCCAGCGGTCCAAGGAGGAGAGAGATGTACAACAGAGCTTCATCCAACCCACAGCTTGGAGCAAGCCCAGCCTAGATCAATTGACCCAAACACTCATTAGCAAGAGACAATGATTATTATACCAAGCCACCAAGGTTTGGAGAGGTCTGTTACTAAATTTGGAGGTGAACTGATATAGTTATATTCGAATGCTCCTATCACGAAAATAGAAACTGAGGTTCTAGGAAGACCACTTATGTAAATAATGTTATTGAGCTTTAACACAATGTTCAGTGAATGAGTAAATACTGAATATTACTGAATGTTTGTCCCATTTAACAAGTGATATATAAACATTGCAATGATCATTTTTCATCCTATCAAAATAGGGTACATTTTTTATTTTATCTGAGAAGCAGCCTAACTTCTTTTAGCTTAAGTTATGCATTATAATCTATTCATAACAGGCTGCTGTTACCAAAAATGGCTTAAGATAGTGGTTTAGGGAAGTATGAATTTTTTCTTTAGAAAACAGGAGTTCTTAATTGGATTTTTTTTAAAAAAAATTTCTCTCATCATATGAATTATCTAATTTCATGATATTATAGGGGTACAAATGTTTTGGTTCATTTAATTGCTTAACCATAAATTGCTTTTGTACAGTTCAAGTCCACCTTATAAGGGTGCCCATCACCCAGACAGTGTGCACTGTACCCAGCAGGTGTAAATTTACCCCATCCCTGTTCTCACTAACCTCAGTCTGAAATGTGGCATGTTCTTCAGGGAAGGACGCAGACAACAAGCCACAGTAGTAATATCAGTGTCTGGGATTATCATCTATAGAATCACCAATTTTTTATTACATTACAATTGCTGCAGATATCCAAAATATCTCAAAATATATGTTCATCCTACTTGGACATTATGGTACTTATTAGAATCACCGCTATATCTTCTTATTCAGTGCCTTAATTAAGCAGCCCATACATGATTATGCCACATGGTTGTTTTCATATTTTAATAGGTTTCTTCTGCATTGCATTTTATGCATTTAAAACATTACTCTGAGAAGAGGGTCATAGACTTTGTCAGAACGCCAAAGGGATCCATGGAAAAGGATAGGACTTTCTAACTTCAAAGATCTATTGTCTTTGGAGAGAATAGAACTTTCTGAACAAGAACTTTTATTAAGAGTTTGGGCCTTTTTGCCCCGGCACGGGGGCCTGTTTGTTGTCTACGGCAAATGTATGTTGCTCTGTAAACCTATCTTTTTCTTCCTTGCCAACAAGAAAAAAAGACTTTGAATAGTGATTTAAACTGCTTTCTTCGAAGTGTTTTTGCTTCGGCTCCCAATAATTTCAAACCAGCAGAACTCAAATCAATGTGTACTTGCAATAACACCTGAGGAGCAGAGTAAATAAAATCAAACCATTCAGAGCCACTGACAACCAGGGATTTAATACAACCGAGAATGTCTTTGAAATTATGAGACTGCATATTTAAAAAGACATACTCCAGCATTTATTTTACCTCGGGGGTTTTCAATATCAGCATTATGGATATTTGGGGCTGGTATAGACAGCGAGGACTGTCCTGTGCCCCGAAAGATGTTTAGCAGTATCACTGGTCTTTAGCTGCTAGATGCCACTATCATTCTCCCTCCTCTCACAGTAGGACAACCAAAAAGGGCCCTAGAAATTGTCAGATATCCCCGAAGGGCAAAATCGCCCCAGTTGAGAACCACTGTTTTATGCGATCATTTCCCAGAAGAGAATGAAGTCAAGGCAACTTGAACGCACTACTTCAATTCATTTTGCTGAAGAGGAAATTTATGTTTTATTATTAGCCTATGATTTTCTTCTCAGTGTGGTGTAACAATAGGATGCGCTTGCTATTTGCCATGATTTCCCAAAAGGTACCTGGTTTATGAGGTTCCTCAGAGACAGTGGACGTCCGAGGACAGCAGCCTCATGCACAGGAGACCAGTCAGACACAGCATCTTCATGGAAAGGAAGAAACGGGTTACATATCCTGTGAAGGCACTTAGAGCCCTCGACTCATCCCTGCCCATCAGTAAGAGTCTAATGGGTCCTGGATGGAGACACTGGAGTGAGTCAACCAAAATTCCCATCAAGACTCAAGCAGTTCTCTCCTCTGTGGACGTTTCTTGGGCACAGTTTATTTGAACTATCTGGCTAGCCCATGAGTGAACTACAGCTAGTGCTCAACCTGAGGACAAAAGAGGTGCAACTGGGATGACAGATCACTGTACTTCTCTTTACACACTCATTTCAAGGGCAAATGGCCCATTTAGTAAAGTGAGAGCTTTGCTAATCACCGGCATTAGTGTGTTAAGCTGTGGTTGCCACTCTAGATTCCTGCCTGAAGTACAAACTTTGGCATTTCAGCAAACAGTGTCGTATACTAATAGTAGTAATCATGTAATCATTCATACACACTCCATTAGGTTCGGAATCAAATCTAAACAGAACTGTAGGTATTTATAGACTACCTCCTATTCTGATACTAAGCGCAAATTAGACTTCAGTCTGACCTTGAAACAGGAACATTATTTCCATTTCCCTCCAAAGGCATCATGCCAATGTGGTTAGGAAAAAACTCTGAATTCAGTGATCTCTGTGCAGTGTGGCTGCCTGGAAAGGCTCTGACCCAGTTTCCTTCTCTGTAAGGTAAGGATAGCAATATAGAGGTTGAGTGTCCATAAGCCAAAAATCCCCAATCTGGAATGCTCCAAAATCTGAAACATTTTGAGCACCAACATGACATGACAAATTTCACACCTAGCTTCACAGTCAAAAAACGGTCAAAATGCTGTTTCATGCACAAAGCGATTTAAAAATAATGTCTAAAATTACCTTTAGACTACAGGTAGAAGATGTGTAGGAAACAAGTTTCATGCTTAGACTTGAACTGTATCCCTACAATAAGTCCTTTCCTTGTTTTTTTTTTTGTCGAGACAGAGTCCCACCCTATGCCCTGAGCAGAGTGCAGTGACATCGTAGTTCACTGCAACCTCAGGCTCTGGCCATGGGCATGCTGCTGCCTCGGCCTCTGAGGCCGCTGGGATTACAGGCGCTCGCTGCAAAGCCCAGCTGGGTTTTTCCATTTTTTTCACAGGACAGAACTCACCCTCGCTCAGACAAGCCTCAGACTCCTGACCTCGAGCAATCCTCCCGCCTCAGCCTCCCACAGTGCTGGGATTACAGGCGTGAGCCACCGCACTTACAATAAGACCTATGGGCAAATGTTCCAATATCTGAAAAGAATCTGAAACACTTGGGACAAAGAATATCCATCCTATTATTTACCATGGCTTGATAATACTGCTATTGTTATTATCTGCCCTCACACTAAACATGGAGACTTCATCACATCCCACAGTCATTGCTATTTAAAGTAGCAAATGTATTCCACAATCATATCAAAGGAATATAAATTCTGAGGAAAGAAGCACGCAAACTCAGTCCCGACACATTAAGGGCTTTCTGCTCTCTTTATAATTAAGTCTGAATGTAACTAAGGCATGGACCCAATTTTTTCTTATCTTGAGCAGCATCTGATTTCCAGAAGAGACTCAGGAAATCAGAACGTGAGGAGGTTTGTGTGACCTCCCCCTTTGGCTCTGCCTGCCCCTGTAAACACACTACACACAGACGTGGCAACGTGGTCTGACAGCAGGCATGCCTTGCATGGGAGACGATACCTCCTAAAAGCTGAGAAGACCCAGAGAACCAGGGTTACCTTGATAACTGACTGGAAGGCCATGAAGAGCCAAGAGCACCTTGTCCATAACATGTGTTGGCTGATGCCTGCCTGCCACCTGGAGCCATCAATGCCCTGGAAAGTCTGTCCCAGTGAGCCAGCTGCCATCCTTCCAGATGGATTCACTGAACATTTAGAACATAAAAGAAAGCTGACTGAGCCCGCCTACAAACTGCCTCTGCAATGCTTTCCTTCTGGGGTCGCCAAGGTGATTGAGATGAAGCAACTTCAGTGAAATGGCTTTTGCTACCTCTAAAACCTTCTGCTTCGATAGATACTCAATGTCCTCACAACATTCCATGAGGTCCCTAATTCTCTCAGGAGTAACACTGCTGATTCTGGGACTTGGAGTCTAAAATCCAGGCTGCAGATACGGAAAGACTGATCTCCAAATGAGAATGCAAGGGACAACTAATTCCACCCCACTGGTGCTGGTAGTGCAAAATAAAATTCATACAAAATTTTGAGAGAACCAGGAGCCAAAACTTGATAAAGGTTTTGAAAATCAGTTTTACCCAGATTCACAAGAGCACGCTAGTGGATGTGTGATGATTAATCCATTTTTCCTTCTGAGTGCTCAGCGGCTAAGGAATAGATGCCACATTCCTCAACTATTCTTAAAGCTACCTAAGACCATTAGCGTTAACAGCCTCAATAGTCCAGGCAGGCAAATTGGGCTCTTCATTGTAACTTTGTGAAGATTGCACAAAAAGAAGCAATTATATTAACAAGTGTAGAAAAAAATACGGTTTCTTTTCTATTCATTCATCATTGACACATTACTCCTTCCATTCGGGGTACAGAATTGTGTTGCTTTCAAAATTCACGTACAGTAAAAAATTATGTTCTTTCAATATTCACGTACACGGTCCTGAGCTTATGTACATTTTCATTTCTCTCGTACATACACCTAAAAGCAGAATTGCTGTATGATATGATAACACCATGTTTAGCCTTTTGAGACTATTTTCCAAAGTGGCTGCACCACTTTATAGCCCCATCAGCAGTCTATGAGGGTTCCCCTTTCAACCCCAACTCACTTTAGGATCTGTTAAGTCTGTCACAGTACGCCTCCTACCCAAAAGAAAAGCATGGGTCCTCATAAAGCCAAAATCCATCTCAAATTTGTACAAGGACTTTAGCCTCAGCCGGTCACAGAACAATCGAGTGATTATGTTAAAACTTACAATAGTGATAAAGAATTACATCTTTACCCCAAATGGAAGGAGTAATGGTTCCATGAAGAACAAAGGCTACCTAGGGTTTTATACCACTCAGATGGCACTGACACAATGGACGCAGCTTGTGTCTTTGCAAAAAGTACAGAGTGTCATCCTGGTTACACGCAGTGATGGGCTGAGGATGTGACTATCTAGCAAACAGCTACACTGAGCTACAATTTAGATACCACAAGTGACCCATTTAAAATGAACAATTCAATACTTTTTCAGTATATTCACAGAGTTGTACAACCAACACCACAATCAGAACATTTTCATCACCCCCCAAAGGAACCCCATGCCCATTAGCATTCATTCTCCATTTCCACTTCCCCCAGGCCCTGGCAACCATTGATCTAATTTCTGTCTCTACAGATTCGCCCATTATGGACATCTCACATAAGTGGAACTATATGGTGTTTTGTGAAGGGCTTCTATAATTTAGCGTAATGTCTCAAAGCTCATCCAATTTGTAGCATGCATCTGTATGCTGCAAAAAAAGATCCTTTTTTAAAAAACAATGCACATTGTGTAGATAGACATTTTATTTATTCATTCATCAGGGGCTGGAAATTTGTGCGTTTCCACTTCTTGGCTAAGTGAAGCTGCTGCAAACATTCACGTACACGGTCCTGAGTTTACGTACATTTTCACTTCTCTCGTACATACACCTAAAAGCAGAATTGCTGTATGATAACACTATGTTTAGCCTTTTGAGACTACTTTCCAAAGCGGCTGCACCCCTGTATAGCCCCATCAGCAATATAGGAGGCTTCCCCTTTCAACCCCAATTCACTTTAGTCTAGGATTTGTTAAGTCTGTCAAAGTTCGCCTCCTGCCCAGAAGAAAAACATGGGTCCTGGCTTGGTGCTTATACCTCAGCAGCTAGGGCGCCAGCCACATACACAGGAGCTTGCAGGTTTCATTGAAGCCAGCCCGGGCCTGCCAAACAACAATGACAACTACAACCAAAAAAATAGGTGGGCGTTGGGGTGGGCGCCTGTAGTCCCAGCTACTTGGGAGGCTGAGGCAAGAGAAGTACTTAAGCCCAAGTGTTGGAGGTTGCTGTGAGCTATGAAGCCACCGCACTCTACCCAGGGCGACATAGTGAGACTCTGTCTCAAAAAAAAAAAAAAGAAAAGAAAAGAAAAAGAAAAACAGAAAAACATGGGTCCTTGTAAAGCCTAAATCCATCTCAAATTTGTACAAGGATTTAGCCTCCGCAGGTCACAGAACAATTGAGTGATTATGGTAAAACTTACAATAGTGATAATGGATAAGTTAATGTTTTTCTGACATTTAGAAAGCATGGCTTATACACACACACATATACATATACATACCCACATACACACACATACAGTCTAGCAAACGCCATTAACCTGCACCATGGACTAGATCACACACACTCTCTTAGCTCTGGAAAACACTAAAGACCTAAATAGAGATCTGCTTTCGAGAACCTGGAAACTGCCTCTACATGGTTTTCCAGAGCCCCCACCCTAAGGAGGCAATGAGCTATACAGGCTCAACACGTGCTCATCGAATGCTCAAGTACTTGCCTTCTGCTGCTGTAAGCTGGAGAGAACAGAAAATAAGCAGGAAAGAAGACGTGTTTTCCTACCAGAACATGATTAGTCACAAAAGACTAGCTGACAGCTGAAAGGCAAATTCAAGCTCACAATATCCTTTTCCACCAACCCTACCGAAGTCTTAGAAACTTAAGGGTCACTATTTGCATACAGTACACTATCCAAGTCCTTGGCATATATTAAGGATTCTCTCCCTATACTTGTTCAGCCATGGTCCACTGGTTTTGCGCCAAAATAATAGATGCCAAATGAGGTCACATCCAGTAATGTAGCCCAGAATTAAAATGGGGCAAGAGCTCTTATAACAAAATCACCCCACAAGTCCTCCAATTAGTGCCATTAAATTTACCTTTGGAAAAAAGCTGTGGCTCTCTCAAACCTGCAGCGCATTACAGAGGCTGCCATTTCATTTTTATTGCAACTTCTGGAACACTTTTTTAAATTTCCATTATTTCAGAAGAGATTCAAAACGCACTAATTGGTACATTCTGAAAAGAGCTACCGAGAAAGTTCTGGAAGCCTTCGTGAATGCTGGGCCGTGGCATAAACCTATCTGCCCTGGGAAATATTCTGCAAAGTCAGGAGAGAAAAGAGAAGTTGGGTTGCTCTCAGGGGACAGGAACATTTGTCTTCGGTCTTTAGGACTAAGGGTGGATTCGGTGGCGTGAACCAACACTGGAGGAGAGCTGGGCGCTGTGTTTACAATTAGAGTGGACCTTGGTTTCATTCCAGGACAAACAAAAGGAGCAGAAACAGAGGCTCACAGTCAGAAACAGGCAAACAGAAAGGCCCATTGAGGCAACACTTGGGCAACTTGGACTGTCCACTGCAATTCTTCCCGCAGTTGCATCATCCAGCCTCCCCTCTCCTTTCTTTCTCTCTATGGAGCTGCCTTCTCCATAGAGGCCTCACGTTCCACCCATTCTGCCTGAACAGGCAGGTTCCCCCTGGAAAACTCACCCCTGCTGAGGCGCCCCAATAGCTAAAAATCCACCATAATGGAGAATAAAATCGCTTCCTTTCACACCTGTTCTCACATGTCCTCTGTTTGAATGCAAATACTCTCTATCGTGTGGATTCAATGTTGTGGGGACGGAAATTCTGGTCGACGTGGGAGTCTGCAGGCAAAACCCTGAAGGACAGACAGTCAAAATGAGAAGAGGGGTTCCTGATCCACTCTTGGGATTATGAGTAGTCAGTTTATCCTTCCATATAATTACCAAAGTTTCTAGGAGCAGGTAGGTATTACTTTCCTAGAGATGCTGTAACACATGATCATAAACTGGCTGGTTTAAAAGAATGGGAATTTATTTTAAACCACCCACTGTTTATCTCACAGCTCTAGAGGGTAGGATTCTGAAATCAAGGTGTCAGCAAGGCCATGTTCTCTCCAAAGACTCTGGGAAAAAATCCTTCCGTGCTTCTTCTGGCTTTGCTTGTAAAGCGTTTTTTTGGTTTTTGTGTTTTTTTTTTTTTTTTTTTTTTT